TCCAGTGGCCTACAAATGGGCTTTGGGTCTCCACCCCGCACTCCCCTCCTCAGTCACTATGGTAAGATTTTTTTGTTCTGATGATGCCTGATACCTGATCCCTTCGACACCTCCTGATTGCCCTGGCTGGTGTGCTTCTTCCATGTGGGCTCTGTTGTTTCTGAGCTAGATGGCCGCTTGTTTACCTTCAAGCCTTTAAGACCCCAGATGCTATATCTTTTGATAGCCAGGCACCATCAGCTTTCCTCGCCACACTTGCCCATGCACCCATTTGTCTTCAGCGATCTTATCAGGTAGGTGAGCACACAATGATATGATTTTTTGTTCTTTGATTAGGCTGCCTTTCTTTTGCCAATTTTGGCTCATATGATGCGTGATGGAATAACTGCCAGTCGCTTTAAGGAGTTGCAGGAACCAGAGTGTATCATTGTAGCACCAACCCGAGAATTAATTAACCAGATCTATTTGGAAGCCAGAAAATTTTCCTTTGGGTAAGTACTTCCAGATTGCCACTCAAAAGAAAGAAAAATTATTTGAGAGACTTTTCTTAACTATTTTGGTAAGAACGCTCATAGTAACATGAAATCCAGAATTATTTTATATCACATAAGGAATTATGGTTAAGAGGGCCATATGAAGTGTGAATAAGTCTTGGTCTTTTAAAATTTTGTTGTCAATATCCAGCATAAAATATTTCCTAACTTCTATACTTGTTTCCAGCTTACACTTTTCAATCACCACTAATTATCAATGCAGCTAACTTACATGTGAGATCAATTATCCTGTCACAGATAGCAGTGCATTTCAAGATAGCTCTTGAAATGTTCTTTTTTATGGGTCCTAGGATAGTAAACCGTATATGACTGTCTGATTCAGTACGGCCAATACCAGTCCATTTCAGCTAACTAGTGCCTGACATACTGGTCTTTAGGAGCTCCATTTCATTATTGACAACTTCCAATTCTTCCTAGATTTATATTTCATATATTATGTGCACCAATTAATGGATATTCACAGCTGTTTCTTCTCATTTTTGAGTTGTACAATTTTGAGTTCAGCAAATGAAACTCCTGAAAGCTTTGCTCCATCCATGTCATTAAGGTTGACATTCTGAGGAAGCAACCCTCAATTTGCCAGTCTTACGTTGAATGCCATCCAAAGCCGGGCTTATCTTCTGACACTCCCTCAGACCACATTTCATTGCTGTTCATAAGGGTTTCAGTGACTCGTTCTGTTTTAGGAGCCTGCCTTAATCCGAAAGCTATTCTGAAATATGTCCACCACCAACACTCAGGCCAGCACTGTCTGACTAACCAGCAGACTTGTGCAGACGGAAGCTAGAGGAGGACAGAATTGGTTCCATCCCTCTCTGTCATTTATACTCCAATAGAACCCATATTGTTTTGTTTCGAGTAAAGTAAATTTTCACGAGGGTAAAGGAGAGCTGAGTACTATTTTGAAATGGTTGCTTTTCTCCTCTTGAAAGCAGCATAGAAAGAAGTACACACATTTTTCTTAGAGCTTCATAGGGAGAAGCTGAAGGGGCATTTGGGGGTAAATATCAGGAAAATTTGAATCACCCTCAAGGCTGGGCCCTCAGGAGTTATCATCACTTGGCTTCCAACAAACAGAAAGATCAAACTCACTGTAGGACAGGGCAGAACTGCCCCGGTGAGTTTCTGAGACTCTCTGTACAGGAGTAGAAAGCCCCTTCTTTTTCCTGAGTCGTGGCCGGTGGTTTTGCGGTATTGACCTTGTGGTTAGCAGTGCAGTGTATGACCACTGTGAAACCGGTACGTTTTACTTCGTGTCACCCTGCTAACTCTTCAGGCAGTTACCCTTAAGCATTTCTGCCTGATGCTGGATTATTTAGTTGTGACAGTTTCTTTTACATGTAAGTTGTGTCAGCTTGCTTGTTTGAATTTGGGGAGTGGTTTGCCTTGTGACTTCAGTTCTCTAAGTTGATCTGAGAGCCATATTGATGTGGACTTTTCCAGATTTGTTCTCTTTGTGTGCTGCAGGTTGATGACTTGCAGTCATCTGTTAATCGATTTCAGCATAACTTTTCCACTGCTTTCGGTACAGACTTAATTTTCTTTTTTTTTTAATTATTTCTTTTTTTTTTCTTGTCAGTGAATGAGAGTGACTGAGAGAGTAAGAGTGAGTGAGTGAGAGAGTGAATGAGTGAATGAGAGAGTAAGTGCGAGAGTGAGTGAGAGTGAGAGAGTGTGAGAGAGTGAGTGAGTGAGTGAGAGAGTGAGT